CATATATATAAAAATAAAAACATATATATATATATATATATATATATATATATATATATATATATATATATATATATATATATATATATATATATATATATATATATATGCTGGACATGTTTTAATTAACAGTAGCAAAGTAGAGTTTGATGGACAAAACTCTTGGACAGCATGAACACTCATCAGGATTTCCTCTGTGCTAGGTTACTTTGTGGAGGAAATATGTAGGTATTCCATAAGTAAAAAAAATAATGAATCCCTAATATATCAAATATGGCTGTGGAGTACTTACAATAGTCTTTAACCTTCTAAAAAGAACATAAGATGTAAATAATCCAATCAAAAGTTTTATTTTGTTTGGCTTTCTTTATTTGTTATGTAGATTAAAAATATATGAATAAAAACTCAGTATTGTGTAGTATTTATCTCATATGTGACTCTACCCAATTAAATAAAAGGTGGTTCAACCTTTCAACCACTAGGTGGCGATCTGAATCAGACATTTTCTTGCTGCACTCTGCACTGTACCTTAATAAGTGAGCCCAGGCAGGGCATTTAATAACCACTGCTGATTTGTTTTATGCTACATTGTTAGCATCAGATTATGTATGTGAATGTTTTATTGTTGGGCTGTAAATGTTCCATTCATGTTTGCTGAAAACTGGGTTATTGCTTTACAACATCCACTTCCCTGCAGTAGCTGTAAACGTCTGTGGCCCTTGTTATGAAAGCATTCGGTTATTAATGCTGTGATACTTATTGATTTACTCTGTGTGTTTGGGTTTGTTACTCTGGTTCATACATGTCAGTTTCACTTGTTGTTGTGACCTTCCTCGTAGGACGGTTGTGCTTCTGCAGAGCGTGGTAAAAACATCCGTGCATTCTGGTGTTGAGCACTAATTCAGCATAATTGTGGCATTAACAAGTTGCAAACAAACAACAGTTAAATTGCAACTACAACTTTGACTTATCTTGCCAATATTCTATGAGCTATTACGAGTTATTATTAATTGCAGCATTTGTAGTGGATATCATGGCAGATTTGCACCATAAGGACCAGCAGACTGGTCTGTGTATTGTGAGATCACAACCCAGCAGAGTGCCTGGATTCAGTGGCCCCTGTTAATG